ATGTTCTCAGAGAGGGGCAGGAGCAGGGTGGCACTAGGTCATGGCTCTGGAGACTGTGAAGGGCAAGAAGCACCTTGGGGGGTGTGGGAAGTGGACTTAACCAGGGGGGTGCGCAGAAATGATGACCAGGGACCGTGCCAGGTTTTGCTGCTCCTAAGAGCACACTGCGGCCCGGGCAGGCACAAAATGCAACAGGTGGTGTGTCTAAGGTCAGGCAGAGCTGGCAGAATGGCAAGAAAGCAGAGGTAAGGGGCTGGGGACAAACTGGAGGGAAGGGGTTGCCCCTGATCAGGCTAGACTTGGAGTTGAGAGGAGTCACAGACTGAATACATTCACACTCCTCAACTCAAATTATTTTAAATGAACTAATGGAGTAACATAAGATTTAGCATACCCAGGCCTTGCTTCCTGTGCCAGGAGCCAGTGAATACCATGGGGTCACCTAACCTCAGGTGCCCCATCTCTGCTCCCAACAGTCAGGTCCCTTCTCTTTTTGTCCACTAGAGGGCAGATGGCATTTTATTCATAGCACCCAAGGGGTGTGCTCAGCAGTCTGGATGCTCACTTTTTTATTCTTAGTCAAATTCTAGAACCTGGTCTGTCTCTCACCTGCCCCCCAACACACCTGTGCCAGGTGCTCCTGCTATGACAGATCACATGTGGTCCCAGACACTACATGCCTACTTTAACCATGGAGTGTGGTGATGCAGGGAAGCCTAGGAATGCCCTCCAAACCCCACCCCTCCTTCAGGACTCCAGGGTCCTCACATCCTGAAGCATCTCCCAACAACTCCCTCGCACACTCACAGCCCTCCAAGCACTCTGATCTCCCAGCTCAGGGAAGAAGCAGTATTCACATTTAATTTCCAGGTTTAAACAGTCAGGCCCAATAATTGATGCCACTAGAGTTCTGGTTCTGTTATCAGTTTAAAAAAAAAAAAATTAAACCACAATATCTCCCAAATTTCTCTCTGTACTTCTTTTTTATTAAATGTTATGTGAAATTCCTGAGACGATGTTTGAACCATCAGGAGACATAGTGGCCTGCTATGCACTTTTTGCATCTTTAGATCACACGCCAATGCTCTGGTGCCATTTGACACGAGTACTATGTCTTTAGTACTTTAGGCATAAAAACATAAAGGGAAAGAGCTGGGTTTACCCTCTAATCCATTTCTTGTTCTATTGCTCCATCTGCTGGCCAGCTCATAGAACATCTTCACCAACCTTTAAGTCCTTCCTGGAAAAGTTAATCTCCATATGGTACTCATTCCAAATTGTGTCCCAAAAGTGAAAGCACGTGTGAAACCATTTTTTCTTTTCAAGTGTCTTGCCTTTTCTCGTCATTTATCTAAATGTGAATGACTCCAGAATCTCAGATCTTGCCCCAAATTTCTCAGACTCCTCTAAGCAAAAGAACGATTTGGCATCACTTTTAAAACACAAATTCCTAGCTCCCATCCCAAACCTACCAAATAAGGATTATCTGGGAACTTATATTTTTCTAAGTTTACCCAGTAGGTTTTACACTCAGTCTAGTATGGGAAACAACTGAAATTTAGCCCACCCCCTTGAGAATCCCTTAGGAGACTGTAGAATAGGGAGCTTCCTAGTTTGACAAATAAGCCTGTCCCCTTTTACAAGACTTAACTGGAATGATTTTGCCTCAGTGAGGAGGGCACCTAGCTCGGGGTGGATCCCAACGAGCTTCTTCTAGCTCACCTGCAACCGCTTAGACCTTTAGCGAGTCCCACCTGAGGGAATGCTAGCCCTCCAGGTGAATCTGAGGCAGGTAAGGCCTCCCTGCGGGGCTGGGTCTCCTGCACGCTCCAGATGCACACCTCGTGGATTTGGAGAGCTGCTTTTAGGTACCCGCCTCCTGGCACTGGAGACAGTTTTATTTTCCTTGAGGACAAACTTCGAACCCCATTTCTGATGGAAGAAACAGCCTGTGATTTCACGGGCCAGCCCACAGCTGAGTCCACTCTTCCACCCCAGGGCGCCCTCCGGATGCCCAGCTGTGCACAACCTCCACGCCCACGCAGGGCCGCCACGTGCTCCGGGCCGCTCGGCCCGCGGGGGCGAGGCCATGTAGCCCCACCCCGGGAAACGGCCACCCGCGCGGCAGCCAATCAGGGCGCAGCGCGCGCACCGCGCCGTTGGCTCGGGAGTCACGTGCTCTGCTGCCGCCTAGCTCCAGACCGTGTACGTCCGCGGTAAAGGAGGGCCGCCCCGTGCAGCCCGGGAGTCCGGAGCGAGCCCGCGGCGAGGCCGGGGCTCCAGGGCGGCGGGGCAGCGGCGCGAGTCGGCGGAGGGATCGGGCCGTTGCGGCTGTTGGCGGTGCGACCCCGCGGGTGCGAGGCGGCGCGCTCTCCTGAGGTGGCCCTGCTCCTTCGGCTAGGCGGCTGTGACCCCGCTCCCCAGTGCCTGCGGCCTGAGTCCGCACCCAGTGAGGCAGGCGAGGCCGCGGGCGGGCGGGCGGGCGGGGTCTCCACGGGTCTCCTCTCCCTGTGTGCTCACCTGTGCCTGCACCCCCACCTGTACCTGCACCCCGCCTCTCCCTGTGCGCCCACCCGTGCCTGCACCCCACCTCTTCCTATGTGCCCACCTGTGCCTGCACCCCGCCTCCCCCTGTGCGCCCACCCGTGCCTGCACCCGGCCTCTCCCTGTGCACCCACTCATGCCTGCACCCTGCCTTTCCCTGTGTTCCCAACCTGTACCTGCACCCCATCTCTCCCTGTGCGCCTACCCGTGCCTGCACCAGTAATACCACCTGAGTCCGCACCCCCATGGGTACCTGCACTCCCACCTCTACCTTGTCCCACCCCTATGGCACCAGTATCCCCACCCCACTCTCTACCTGTTCCTGCATCTGCCCACGGGTCACTAAACCTGTCCTTTGTTTCGTTGCCGTCCTGAGGTGGTTGACCAACCTGAGTCAGGCCGTTGACCATGACTGGGGGAGTTAGGGAGCTTCCATACTGGGTTATCCAACACAGTTGCATGGTCCAGACCCCTTTTTAGGCTAGGGAAGTAAAGGAGTGGGTGCAAGAAAAGGCTTTGCCTTCCTAGGGGGCTGGGAGTCGGGAGCTGGAAAGTAGGGAAGTATTGGCATAAAAGGGATCCTGATGGGGTGACCTTAGAGCAGTCTGGGAGGCAGGAGGCTTCCCTATGGTTTGGGCTGGGCCTTCCTAGGGGGGCCAGTGAGCTCAGGGCCGGGTATAGGGGGAGAAAGCTGGAGGCTGTGTGATAGGACAAGGATTTGCTGTGCTTTCTAATTCCACCGGAAGTGTGGTCCAAAACTACCTACAATGTTTTTCTTCTTTTTTTATTGTGGCAAAATAGTAACAAATTTGCCATCTTAGCCACTTTTAAATACATTACAGCGGTTTTTGCTAGTTGCCTCTTGTTTTGAAGTTAAAGTTGATAAATCATTTTGACGTAAATGCTCTCTAGCTAGTGTAGTTGTTGGAAGCACAAACTTAATTTCTCTCGTTAGGTGTGCCTACACCAACATCCAGATTGGGATATTTTTGTAAGTGAAAGGAGACCAAGCTGAAAAGTGAAGTTCCCTGGGTAAGCTGGACAAGGTGCACTTGTTTACGTGAACAGTACTCTGCAGTGCTGCTCAACCTGGGGTCATGAGAACCATCCAGAGGACTGCTGCAAACAGGTCCAGCTTGGGCTGGATGAAGGGGACTCCCCCATCCCCCATACACACGACCATGTTTCCAGCAAGTTGCAGACACAGCCAGCCAGAGACCACTTTGAGAACTGCTCTGTTACTTAAGAGTATTCCCTATTGAGAGGGCAGTTCAGCTTATTGCTAGTTTGATTTTGGGTTTTTAAAAAGATATTTGCATGATTATTGCACTGGACTAGGTGAGAAGGACCAAATTGTGGTGAACCCCCTGTGTGGCTGTCACGTGTGAGGCAGAGCCCTTGCCTCGTAGCTAGGAGGCCTCAGGTCTGGTCTGAACCAGAAGGCTAGGTACCATGTGGTGTAGTGGCTGCTGCAGCTGGTGAACAGCCTTGAGGACCGTGGGGGAATAATACCGCTGATGTGGTCCTTAGAAGAGAATGAGCCAGACTCTTCTAGTTTAGAAAAGGTGTGGTGAGCCATGGTGTAGGGGATTCAGGGGCTTGACTGTGGCTGCCGGGGGAGGGGCTCTTGCTGAGTCTCAGCGGCAGGTGAGTTGAGAGTGCTTGGGCAGCCCTTCTCCTGGGCGTGTTGTGAATGCAGCGTTTAGGGCGAGATTTTGTACGAGATGCAACGTGCTGGCCTCTGAAGGTTGCCTTGTGTAACCCGAGTGGGAACTGATGTTTTAGAGTGTGTGGCTTGCTCACAGTCACCTGTCTGCAACAGGCAGCAGCTGGTTTGGGCACTGGAGCTCAGGAGCTATTGCCTTCTCCGTGGCAGGTGAGAGGTGATGAATCTGAAGCCTTCTCATTTTGGACTCTTCTGAATGCAGCTGTAGGAACAGTTTAGAAATACAGACCCATCATTTCTCTTCAGAGGGAAAGGGTGCTGATGTCCTTTCAGGAATGAGATGCAGTTGAGGAGGAGGGAGAAGTTGGGGGACAGGAGCCAAGCAGATGCAGCAAGTGTGCAGAAGGAAGAGCCCAGGGGCTTGCTGGAAACATGCCAGTTTTGTGACAGATTATACCAGGGTGTGCAGTACCCAGGTGGAGAGCCTGTTGCCATCACTGAATTCTCGGGACACTTTGCCCCTCCTGCGTCAGTCCATACTGATTCTCTTGGAAACTAAACCTTGTGTTGAAATGTTTTCCACTTGGCCCTACCACCTGGGGCAGTGGCCAGGCCAGCTTGTGGGATGTAGGAATGGGTGTTTCCCTGAGAAACTGCTGAGAAGAGTCCAGCATGTGTGATAATCGAGGAGCTTATCTTAGGATCTTAATGTTTAAAGGTAACCTTGTAGAAATGGCCAGACGTGATTATGCATGACATTGTCTTCACAATTATTTCCTCTCTAGAAAAGATGACTGGGCGAGCCAGAGCCAGAGCCCGGGGAAGGGCCCGCGGTCAGGAGACGGCACAGCATGTAGGAGCAGCCGCGGTGAGCACTGTTTTTTTCTGCCTCATAAGGGTCTTAGAGACCATTGACCACCTTGGGCTCCCATGTAGCTCAATGGTAGAGCCCTTGCCTAGTAGCTGGGAGGCCCCAGGTCTGATCTCCAGCACCAATAAATAAATATCCAAAACAGCTTTGTTCTGGGAAGAAGCTGAGAACTGAGCACCTGTCTGACAAACTGGCTCTTGACATCATTTGTGACTCTTGCCTCAAAGGCATTTCTTTTTTAAAACAGAACACTCGGGAATCTGGGAGGTGGTGTTTGAGTGGCTGGGACTGGGTTAATCTGGTCTCGCTGGTACCTGGGCTCTTGACCTGAGAGTGGCTCTTCTTTGTGCATCAGCAGAGTCAGCAGCCAGGGTACATTCAGCAGAGACCTCAGCAGCCACCAGCAGAAGGGGACTTGGTCGGCCGAGGACGGCAGAGAGGAGCAGCAGGAGCCACAGCCAAGCCACCAGGTGGAGGAGAGTGGGAGGGACCTGGAGCAGCCATGGGGTGTGCAGTGCTGGCCCTGGGCAGCTCTTACAGGGCCCAGCAGGTCTCTGCATAGCCCACAGGTGCTGGGGGCACCAAATTTCTTTTCTGCTTGAAAACAAAGACTGTAGACTTGCCAAGGCCTATAGTAGTGATTACAAAGTGATTAAATTTCAAATCACTCATCAGTTTGCTTATTGTGCCTAAATAAGCCATTTTAGACCATTTCTTGGCATCATTAGTAATCGCATCAAAAGCTGGGCTAACTTGAGTAGAGAACTAAAAGCAGTTACATGTCTGATGGTGAGGAGGTTCCACGTCGTGTGTTAGGCTTGGGTCTTCCATTATGGGTTCTGGGTGTGAACCTGGTCAGCCCCCCGTTGCTGCAGCTCCACGTGGCATGACAGATGTCAGGAGATACCAGGGTGGAGGCCTTTAAAACTCCAGATAGTAGAAGCCTGGCCAGGGGTCTCCCCGCAGAGGGGTGCCATGGGGAGCAGCCCTCCGCAGGAGGGCATAACACTGCCATTCTCTTTCAGCCTGGCATTGCCCATGTGCTCCATCTTCCCTCTTTTCTTTCAAGAGCTCCAGATTTCAGCTGGGTTTCAGGAGCTGTCGTTGGCCGAGAGAGGAGGGCGGCGCAGGGACTTTCATGACCTCGGTGTGAACACCAGACAGAACCTCGACCATGTCAAGGAGTCCAAAACAGGTGAGTGGGCAGAACATTTCAGAAGGTCATGTTCAGGCTCAAAGAACCTAGACCATGCATGTCAAGGAGTCCAGGACAGAGTTGGCAGACCATTTCAGGAGGTCACTTCCAGCACAAGGCAGGGAATGGAAGCGTATTGTCTTACTGTTTGTATGAAGCCCTCAGCGTTGATGGAATGGCTGGGGTGTCCGGGACTGCACACCGTGTTACTGTATTAGGTAGTACATGGGACCCTTCAACACCATTTGCCTTAGAGACAGCTGGTTTTTGATGTGAATCACTTGGTCCAGGGAGGGTTTGTTCCCAAACACTGGACTTCTCTAGAAGTCCCTGAACATGTAGGATAGTGGTGCCCAAGTCCGGGCTCTGGGAACCGGATGCTGACTGCTGCTCTGAGCTCTGTTCTCAGAAGGCAAGATTCCAGGAAGGACACTCTGGACTTGTGCTAACCAAGTGTGGCCGGCTCTGCAGGATCTTCAGGCATCATAGTGAGGCTGAGCACCAACCACTTCCGGCTGACCTCCCGTCCCCAGTGGGCACTCTACCAGTACCACATCGACTACAACCCGCTGATGGAGGCCAGGAGGCTCCGCTCTGCGCTCCTCTTCCAGCATGAAGATCTCATTGGAAGGTGTCATGCTTTTGATGGAACAATATTATTTTTACCTAAAAGACTACAGCACAAGGTTATTTCACATGTCTGGGTGGGGAGAGGGTGATGGGGACTTTGGAAGAGGCCCTGGGGGTCTCCTGTCCATTGGCCTGTGGCTACCCCAGAGGCCACACTGGCATCACGTGCCTTTGTCAAGTCCACCAGGAAACTGAAGGACTACAGTAAATTGTGATGGGGGCTTGCTCACTCTTCCTCCTAGCCCTTTTCTAAAAGTGCCATTAAAAAATGTACTTTTTAGGCCTGGGGATGGATGTAGTTCAGTGGTAATGCGTTTGCCTGGAATGCACGTGAGGCCATGGGTTATGTCCCCAGTACTGCAGTCCATCCGTCCTTCAATGATGACTTTAGGGTTGCCTTATTAAAGAGGCACTGTGTACTGGGCTTGGTTTCCATAAGAATTGGAAGCTGGTCTCCCATCCCATTGGCTGCAGGTCACAGAAGTGTTCAGCCAAACCCGGAATGGAGAGCATGTCCGGATCACCATCACGCTGACCAATGAGCTCCCACCCACATCGCCAACCTGTCTGCAGTTTTATAACATCATATTCAGGAGGTGAGTGTGGTTAAACTCTTTTGAGTATTTTATTAAGGATTTAAAACACAGAAAAGCTGGAAGAAGTGTATAGGGAATACATGTGCACCTGTTACCTGGGCTTTGCCATGTTGGGTGAGCCAGTGTCTCTGGATTGCCATGATTTTAACTGTCATGTCTTATCATCCCAGGTGGGAATGATAACCTAGGAAAACAGATTGAGCAACAAATATGCCACTTAGGGTAATTTTTAGAATAATGTGTTGTAAGAACTTTTTCCTTTTTGAGAAAATAGGTGAATGATTAGAACATTCGAAGATTATATATATATATATATATATATAAACTATGTAAAGGCCTCCAAGTTCTAGGTTTTGATCCACAACCTGGCTTTATGCCCTGTGTGACTTCATTGCAATATTCATGGGATTGAAACCGGGGCTGGATGGGTTCAGGTGTGGTTTATCAGCATGCAGTTTGCTTCAAGCCAGCCCTTAACTTTAATTTCCCTGTTTGTGTTGATGTCAGGTCCTCAAAACCCTGCCTGTGCTGGGCCAGGGTCACCCTTCCCTGGGGGGCTCTGGTTGGGAGGGGTGGGTGAGACCTCTCCACACCTTCCTATGGCGAGAGATGACAGCGGCTGGCTTGTACTGGTCGTCAGTGTGCATACCATATCTTCCAAAGCTAAAATAAAGACATGCTGGCAGAGAGTTTATTTTCTGGGTGAAAAGAATCTGAAGGCTGAATAATGGGCTATGATACTTGGATTTGTAATTTACCTTTTAAAATTGCTCATAGAAAATTGTCCCTTATTTTGAATTAATGTGATTGGTACATCTATAGATTTCCAATCAAGGCTGGCAGGGTGGCTCTGCAGAGGGCTGCCTGGTCAGCACCATGCCTTCCCAGCCTCAGCTGCTGGGCCTAAGGAGCCTCAGGCAGCAAGCGAACACCAGTGCTGGCTTCCAGGAGAACCTAACTGATAGACATGCAAATCGGAATTTCATGTAATTCGTGTGTCTTGGGATCTCTTTTCCCAAACTCTGAAACATTTGGAACTCGTTGCTGGGTCCCAGGCACATGAGGACTAGTCCTGCCCAGAGCAGCCTGCTGTCCCATAGGCAGGACTGGATGCTTTCCACCCTCACTTTTATAACTACTCACTTTCTACTTCCCAGGCTCTTGAAAATCATGAATTTGCAACAAATTGGACGGAACTATTATAACCCAAGTGACCCTATTGATATTCCAAATCATAGGTTTGTATGAAATGGGAAATCCTACGTTTCTCTCTGCACAGACTTTGAGAGTGGTGGTCTGATGTGACAGTATCTCTAATGGTGCATGTCACATAGGGGAACATGTAACTTGGTTTGCCTAAGAAGTCACCCTGCAATACTTGGATTCAAGGACAAAGCAACATAATAACATTGATGTTGCCAGAGATGCATAAGCATCTATCCAGCACTCAGTTTGAGCTTTGCCCTCCGGTGATGAGGTCCCCAGGCAGAAGTCACTGTGCTGTCACAGCTATGGCCCAGGTGGTTTGGGTTTGTTGTGATGCAGGCACTTGCAGCAGGTGAATCAGTGTAAAGGAGAGCCCAATCAAGTTCATGTGTTTGTTTAAAAGGGAACCTCTAAACGATCATTACTACCATATGAGGCTATTGAAGCCTTGAAAGGTCTCTTTGGAGCCGAGGGACCCAACTTGAAGTAGCTTGCACTGGTGTCTGGGCCCCCGTGACCAGCGCTGTCCTCAACAGGTTGGTGATCTGGCCTGGCTTCACCACTTCCATCCTTCAGTACGAGAACAACATTATGCTGTGTACCGATGTCAGCCACAAAGTGCTGCGCAGTGAGACGGTGCTGGACTTCATGTTCAACCTGTACCACCAGACAGAGGAGCACAAGTTTCAGGAACAAGTTTCCAAGGAGCTGATAGGGCTGATTGTTCTGACCAAGTAAGCCTGCTCTTTAAGTGCAGAACCTCCTTCGCGCAAGCCTTCAGGGCATGTGGCTTTCTAGTTCTGTGATGCGTGAGGTGGAGGGGAGTATGTGGGAGAAAGGGGCCACTTGTCACCCTTCTGGGGTCAGTGTCTGGGGAACATGACCAGGATACTGGTGATGCCAGAGAAGTAGGCTGCCTGGTCCTGCTTTGTCATCTTCCCTGTGTTTCTGCCGAATGCTTGTCCTCTGGTGCTTGGCCCACAGGTATAATAACAAGACATACAGGGTAGATGATATCGACTGGGACCAGAATCCAAAGAGCACCTTCAAGAAGGCAGATGGCTCGGAGGTCAGCTTCCTGGAGTACTACCGGAAGGTACGAGGCCAGCCCTGCAGGCCTGTCACCTAGCTCCCCCATGAACATGCACACCACACACACTCCACTGGGCAGTATGGTGCCACGATGAGAAGCACCTCCCAGCTTCCCTTCTCTAGCAGAAGGAAAGACCAAAGTTGAACTTGGCATAGGGAGACAGACAGGTGGTAAATGTGCTGAGTAACAGCTCACTTGGATCTTTTGTGCTGTAGGCAGCATTTCAGCCAACTTCATCTGGGGCCCAGGGTCACAGCTGGTCCACCTTGGCACCCGCTGTGCTAGTATCCTGTGGGGAACTCTAGCTTTGGATTCACATGTGTAAGGTTCAAATGGGCTTTTTGGGTTTCTGGGCAGTCTCCTGACCCAGCCTTGTGAAGGAGGGGCATGGTCATCACCACACCAGCAGGGTCAGAAGGTAGCAGAAGAGACTGCTGGTGGGCAGAGAAGAGTGTCCACACGGGAGTGCTGGAGGGCAGCAGACATGCTCTGACCTGCAGAAGACCACCTGCTTTGACCACCGTATTACCAGTAAAGGAAGTTATCTCTCGAGTACTGTCAGTTCATTCCTTCAAACCTGTCTTTAAAACCTGTCTGAAACATATTTTATTTTTTGTACCTTCATTGGAGTGTTTTCTGTTCCTGAGAGTCTGGGCACATGAGCTCTTGCCATGTGTGTGTCCTCCATGGAAGGTGCACCACCAGCAGCCTTGGGTGGTCCTCAGCTGCCTGGGAGGGACAGGGGTCATCACAGCTTCTCCTGCTGCTCTCCCCAGCCTCCACACTCCCAGGGACTCCAGCTATACCTGTTTAAATCCCTGTAGTCAGAAGTGGCTGTGGGGACTGAGCTGTGCCTTTTAGTGGTCACTGTTGGGGATGGGAGAGGTCAGTGCTTGTCATCAGCAAATAGAGACGAGAGCAGCTGGAAATTGGGTGTCAATATGAAGTGAGGCCTGGGGAGACAAGCCACCTGCAGGTGGTTCTCTGCATGTCACCACTGCTGCTGCTCTGCCCAGCACCCTGGGTGACCTCCAGCCTTATTCTCGGGCTTCAGGGCGTGGGTAGTTTCAGCCCAGGTATGTCTTTACTCAGCTGCCTCCTTGTTCTAAGTGTCTGGATGTCTCAGACACTGCATGAGGTGTGCCCAGCCCCTCTATGCATGCAGGGATGGCACCCCAGCAGGGACTTCCTGGTCACACCCAGTGCTGTGGAAGACTGCAGAGGGCTGCTGTGCTGGTTACTGCAGTGCCACCACCTCGTTCCCCCTTCCCTGGTTTCAGGCCTGCTACTGCCTTTGCTCCCAGGCTCTCCTGCTGTGACATGTTTTCACTCTGATATTGCCCTTCTAAGGCAGCGAGGCTGCCCTTCCTGCTGTGTGGTCCTCAGGACTGGTTCCAACCCTCCTGACGACCACAGGCTCTGCCAGACTCCCTTTGCTGTGCTCTGCCTCCTTGGCCCTGGTGCTGACCTGGATTCAGCTTCTGGTGCCTTGGGATGAGGGTGGCCCAGGGGTGGTGTACCTGGTTAACTGTGGCAGACACAACTGATGGGCGAGGCTGGGGGTGGGTGTTTGATAGGTCCTTGGGACTTTTGGTGGACATGCAGGTGCAGTGGTGAGTGGTCTTGGGGAGAAAGGTGAAATCTAGAAGACATTAGAGCAGAAGAGGGGGGTTTTCGGGGTAGTCATCAGGGCCAGGAACCTGAAACAGAAATGAGTGCTGTGCTTCAGGTATAGGGGAAGTATAGTAGGAGCTGGCAGGTAACTCTTGACCTGGATGGCAGGGCCAGGCTGGAACCTGGTCCCTTCATTCAGACTGGAATGAGGCCCAGGTAGGTGTCTGGGCTCTCGAAGTCAGTCATGGCTACGCCATGTTCCTCCCTCTCTGTTCAGTGGGATTGTGTGAGTTTTTAAAAAGTGATTATAAATTAAGTGGGATGTTAAAGATGTGGGGGCTCCAGGAAATGACAGGAAGGAGAGTCTGGATGACACAGGGAAGGAGCTGAAGTGAGAATTCAAGTGGTCTTTGGAGGGTCTGGGATGGTGGAACCGGGCCCAAGCCCATGTATGCTGACATTGTGTCTAGGTGTCGTGAGCATCTGTACTTTTGTCCCCCCTTCCCAAGTTGGAGGCAGGGATCGACTCCCCAACTGAAGCCTTCAAAGCCCCCGTGTGCTGAGGGCTCCTCGCCTGCACTCCTGGAGATCCCACCAGGGTGTCCCTCTCAACCACGGGCCATTTGTCCACTCTGCTGAGCTCGAAACTGCTCTCCTGGCTGGCCTAGTTTGTGGGGAGAGGAGAGGTGATTAGTCCCAGTAGAATTAGAAGTGCATGTTCATGCTGTGCTTGAAAACCACCCTGCCACTTGGCCTTGCTCTTGCCCTTGCCCTTACCCTTAATTAAGAGCCAGAGTCACACCTCTGTCTCCAGGTGACCTGTCCCTGGTGATCACCTCCCCTCTTCCTGTCCTGAGCAGCAGTATAACCAAGAGATCACCGACCTGAAGCAGCCAGTCCTGGTCAGCCAGCCCAAAAGGAGAAGGGGTCCCGGGGGCACGTTGCCTGGCCCTGCCATGCTCATCCCTGAGCTCTGCTACCTCACAGGTAGGCTGCCCAACTCCTGGGCCACTGTCCCAGAGTACAGCCACTCCCCAGGCTCCTTCACCTGCAGCCCTCCTAGCAACCCTGTGGGGGTGGCTTCCCCTCCTGGGCACCCCCTTCCCAAACCTGCCTTGCTGCAGAGCTCGGTACAGGAAGTTCACCCCTCTGTGCTTTGTGTGCAGGTCTCACTGACAAGATGCGGAATGACTTCAATGTGATGAAGGACCTGGCAGTGCACACACGGCTGACTCCTGAGCAGCGGCAGCGGGAGGTGGGCCGCCTCATTGACTACATTCACAAGTAGGTGCCTGTCGCGGCCGCTGCGTGTCCACAGGGTCTGGGCTCCTGTGCGGCCTTGTTGCAAAGCCTGTATTTTGCTCCTCAGTGAGCCAAACACTTTGAATAAAGCTTCACTTCAGTCCTATTGAGAGAAGGGGCTGGCTAGAGGAGGGGGCGTTGGGGTAGATCTCTGCCCTATGTAAGACTTGCTCTGAGCAGCAGGAGTTTGGGTCTCAGGGTTCTAAACTGAAGGTGTCCTGGAGAGAAGGGGAGGAATGGGGAGCTTGCCCTGCGCAACCTCAGCTGAGGCAGCCCTGAGTGCACTCTGCACACGTGTCCACTGGGGCTCAGCACGAGCTTGTTTTCCATTTGCAGAGATGACAACGTGCAGAGGGAGCTTCGAGACTGGGGGTTGAGCTTCGACTCCAACTTACTGTCTTTCTCAGGACGAATTTTGCAAGCTGAAAAGATTCACCAAGGTGGAAAAACAGTAAGACAGTTTTTAAGGCAGTGGATCAAGTGAGACATAGGCCAGACTAGGGTGAAGCTAATGGGCATAGCCTGAGCACCAAACTGGCCCTCTGGTGAGTTGTCACCAGCTGCCACATCGTCATGACCTACACACACCAGAGCACTCGGCAGCCCTGGGACCTGGCCTAAAGGGGACTTGGCTGTTTTCTCAAGTGACCCCAATTACTGAGATAAGGCGCAGCAGAGCAGTGTTATCTGACTCGCACGTCGTGTGTCCCTGAAGCAACTTTTTACATGGAAAACTACAGATCTAATTGATGTTCTGTGTGGACAGTTTTTAGATGTGTGTGCTGTTGTACTTTTCACATTCAGAAAGGGGAAAGCACGTATTCTGGAAGATCTTTTATGTAATCATAATGTTGCAAATTCCCAATACTTTAAATCATCTTCTAGCCAACTCTGCCCTTCCACTGTCACAGCTGGGAGCAGCATTGTCAGATAATGGAATAGTGTGATGCAGTCATTTCTGATGTCCTTTGTAGAGATCACAAAAAGATGTGTCCCTCCATGGGGACCCTTGGGGAGCAGGCCAAGCAGTGGAAGGAACTGGGCATTGTCCCTGAGGGCCACCATAGGGCCACTGCCACCTCTGCCCAGCTAGCAGCTGGGTTATAGCTTGGTTTCAACATCAGACACTCAGTCAAGTAGTTTGACTTTCAAGTCTTATTTTTTGTTTTTCGTAAGAACACCTGTCCTTGAAAGACTTTGGCAGAGAAGAAGGCAAGTTCACCTGAGGCACCTGGGCAGTGCCTGGGGGAGCTAGTGAAGCGGCATGGGTGCACTTGAAACAGGTGCCACTGTCTTCCGGGCACATTTGAGTGTTTCCCCCTCGGGTGTTTCCTCTGCTGCTGGCTGCAGCTCAAGCATAGTGGCCTAAGGGTCACAGTAGCTGTGGCAGAATCATGAGGACTTTCTGGCTGTGTCCTCGGGAGTACACAGCAGGCTCACAGCACCTCTGAACTTTTTTCTAGTTTGACTACAATCCACAGTTTGCAGACTGGTCAAAAGAAACAAGGGGCGCACCGCTGATCAGCGTCAAGCCACTGGATAACTGGCTGCTCGTCTACACGCGCAGGAACTACGAAGCTGCCAACTCACTGATCCAAAATCTTTTCAAGGTGACACCAGCCATGGGCATACAGATGAAAAAGGCAATCATGTAAGCAATCACGTCACTTCTTCTCAAGAAAGTGAGGCATCGTTCCCGGAGGGGTGGGGCTCAGAGCTCCCAACTGGTTATGCTGAAGAGTCCCCAGGGCTCCCGGGGATGCTCAGGCAGGACAGATTGCACTGATGCTGCCAGCCTGAAGAGTCCCCAGGGTTCCCGGGGATGCTCAGGCAGGACAGATTGCACTGATGCTGCCAGCCTGGTTCTGTGCAGCAGCCTCTTGCCTAACGGGCAGTTCTGGGCATTTTATTTCATATTCTGTGCAGAAATGTGTCGCGAGTTGCAGCCTCTAGGACAGTTGTATGCGCAGCGTGACGTTTGCTTCCTTTTCTGAATGTCGGCCTGTGTGCTTCCACTGCAGGATTGAAGTGGACGATAGAACCGAGTCCTACCTGCGCGTCTTGCAGCAAAAGGTTACATCAGATACCCAGATAGTAAGTGGCCGCTGGGCCTTGGATGCGCTGGGTGGGGCATGTTCAAGTGACGTCTGCAAGTCCTGGAACTTGGAGCTTCTTCTCCAGGCGTCAGCCCTGGGCCCCCAGATGAGCCACAGAACATGCCCTTCCCTCCACATGGCAGCTGATCTGGTGCTGCTATGTGCCTGGGAACCTGGCACAGGCTCTGCCAGGGATGAGGAAGGGGAGGAAACAAGGCTATCTTAAACTTGTTCTGACTCGAAGGCTTTGATTATCCTAGTAAATTTTGGGAAAAAGACAAAGTGGGTCAGTGGTGGTGTTCCACACAGGCGGCAGTGTAGCTACGCAGAAATGGGCAGGGACTGCCCAGGGCGCAGCTTGCGGCTCCCAGAGATTGTGAAGATCAGCATCCAGGCCACCAGGAAATCCAGGGCACTGGGGCCCCACTCCTGAGAGGTGTCCCCTTGGTCTTGGTTCAAGTGTCTGTGTATGACCAGCCCCTGGGGGGAGTGATGTGAGAAGGTGTGGAGCAGTGTGCTGTCTGAGGCTCCTCAGTCATGGCATTTGGCCCCGGCGAGCTCTGGAGGGGCAGAGGACATGGCAGGTGGTCTTCTTGCATCCCTGGTTTGGACTTGAGCAGTGTTGGCTTTCCTATTCCTGTTGCAGTCTGTAGTGGGGGCAGTCAGAGTGTGAGGTCTGGCGCTGGACCCTGGCCTGGCCACTGGTGTGACCCTGGCAGTGCCTGGGTGGCATCTCCACACATGAAAGCACTAGAGGCAGTGCCCACAGTGGTCGGTCCTGCATGGACTCTGTGAGAACCCAGTGCTGCCAGCCGCCTGGCTCTGCCCCGTGGTCCCACCCACGCCCCTCCAGTGCAGTCTAGAGTCCCAGCGAATCTCCTGAAATCCATGAAAGGAAAATCATCCCCCACTTCCTGGCTGGAAGGCCTTGGGCCACAGGCTTCCTGACACATGTAGTCCACAGGGCACTGGGCTGCAGACACTGTCCCTCCTGCAGAGAGGGTCCTCTTGCTGTGGATGTTGCCCTCTTTGTGCTATGGCCCTGCCTTGGTGGCCTGCGGTTGGCTTGCTCGCTCACACACCCAGACACGCTCTTTTATTGCCTGTATGTTTTCTGGCAAAGGTTTCACTTAAAAATTTGCAGCAAGCTTTCTCTGTTCCAGTGTTCTCTGCACCCAGAAATTCTGTGGAGATGGACATTGTGTGGATCATCCTGTTTGGCATGAAGGGCATGGCCTTTGCAAACACCAGGCTGTATCTGAGTCTGAGTGGTGGGGGCTGGATCCCCCATTCCCACAGAACCTCCTGTTCAGGGTTGGGGAAAGTGATGGCAGGTGAGGCAGGAGGTGGTGGTCCCCTGAGGAACTCCACACTCCAGATCTGGGAGGGGTATTCTGCACTCTGCTCAGAAGGTCCCTTGAATCCAGGCTTCTCCACTTAGCAGACAGTGTGCCTATTCTATTGTCTGGCTGGGTCCCTGCCTTGTCAAGTCCCGAGGCTGCTGTTGCAGTTCATCTCTGGCAGTTGGCAGCTCCTATTTTCTAGTCAGATTCATGACCTGAAACTATGATGGCCAATGCATAGCAGTTTAGTAAATTCCTGTTGCTTTTACACTGTACCATAAAGTTGCAGAGAGCATGTGTGCAGGTTACCACCAGCAGACGGCAGCATGGGGTGAGTGCTATGCGGGAGGGAGAGGGCCTCTTGGGGAGGAATGAGGGTTGGAGGGGAAGCCATGCTGAGCTATTCTAGGAGCCCACATGCTGGCCGTTTCTAGAAAACATCGGAGGGCAACGCCCAGCTCTGGGAAGCTGGACACAGTGCCTCCTGCACCCTGGATGTTCACTTGTAGCCCTGGTAGGCCTCTGACAAGGGACAAGGACATATTCCACATGGCTTTCAGCCCAGGGAAGGGTTGGCTCCATCTCATCAGCCCCTGGTTCAGCCCGTCTTTTTGTCCTTGGATGCCACAGGCAGATAACAGCTGTGTTGCCTGGAACAGTGCACGTGCCCAGGTAGACAGCAACTTTCTTGGAGACCATAGAAAAACAAGGCTCTGGGATCTGTGGGGAGACGATAGTGAGTTCATGAGCTGGATTCAGCTCCAAAACTTAAACCTGCAGCCCTAGAATTTGGGTGGTGCATGGAGATGTGGTGCTTCACCTTGGCCTCAGGATGGTCCACGGACTTCTAGGAAGACTCCTGCCTGGGTCAGGTGACCCCAAGCTTTCAGGATCGTAAGCCGTGGTCCTACATGGACTGGAGTAACTAGACTGTGTCTGCTTGGGAGTCCTTGCCAGCTAGCGCTGTCCTGAGTCCTTCCAGGCTGGTCCTGGAGCATGCCTGGCTCCATGAGTGCGTCTAAGGACGTCCCACCATGGCCACACAGTCAGCTTGACAAGCTCTCTGCCCTGGGCCAGCTGCCATGTGCAGGCCTGAATGTTGTTGCTATCCTACTAATGAGCTACCTGACAGACGCCCAGCAGAGCTTGTGCAGGTGGCCCTCACAGTCTGCCCCTGAGCTTGCTGTCTGCTCTCAGCCCAGTCCTAACCTTCACACTCCTGGCTGCTTGTGACGAGGTCATCCCCTTGTTTGTAGGTTGTTTGTCTGTTGTCAAGTAATCGGAAGGACAAATATGATGCCATCAAAAAGTACTTGTGTACGGACTGCCCCACCCCAAGCCAGTGTGTGGTGGCCCGGACCCTGGGCAAACAGCAGACGGTCATGGCCATCGCCACCAAGATCGCCCTGCAGATGAACTGCAAGATGGGCGGTGAGCTCTGGCGAGTGGACATGCCGGTGAGCTGGGCTCGTGGTGGGCGAGATGTTCAGTGGGCATTAAGAAAGGCGCATCTTTTTTCTGTGGTGCCGTTGTTCAGTTGTTTCTAAAACAGCGATATTCATGTTAAAGCTGAAGCTGGCAATGATAGTTGGCATTGATTGTTACCATGACACCACAGCTGGACGGAGGTCAATTGCAGGATTTGTGGCCAGCATCAATGAAGGGATGACCCGGTGAGTGAGACCCCATGTCGCCATGGGGATGGACGCTATGACAAGACAGGTGAGTCCTGAGCTGGGCCCTGCTGCGGGCCTGTGAGTACATTCTGCTTCATCCTGGTGGAAGGAAAGGGCAGCACCTGCCCACCCTGCCCTCCACTGCCCTCCACTGCCCTCAGTACCGTGCTCAGAGGCATGTCCTTTCATCTCAGTAAAGGTGGCCCAGTCTCAAACTTTCCTGGTTAGCTATTTTTATTGGCCACTGAGATGGGACTTCAGATTTCCAATGTAGAGAAAACAGTTCACTGGCCACTTGTATTCCTGCACTGTAGACCCACTCTTCAGGGTTCTCCTGGGAACTGAGTGGATTGCCAGGTGCAGAAGCTGTCGGCATCACTGGTGGGTGGGTGCCAGCCTTGATCTTGAGAAGAGCAAGACCCCTAAGGGTGACTTCTCAGGAGCAGGGCAGTGGGATTCTGGCTTATCTCCTGCTTTCTCCCCAGCACAGGGAAGTACGTGGTTGGTTTTTAATTGGAGAAAACTTATTTTGAGTTACAAGGGATTTAATGGTCTCCTGCCGCTTCTGCTTATTTATTTAAGGAGACATTAGGAGACCCCTTAAAGGAGGTGGCAGACATGACACATGCCCCTGAGAGCAGGTAGCTGTAGAGCAGCTGGGAGGGGAAGCTAGAGGCTGTGGGCCTCACTGGTCACACTTTTCCCTGAACAGCTGGTTCTCACGATGTGTCTTTCAAGATCGTGGACAGGAGCTGGTAGATGGGCTCAAGGTGTGCTTGCAAGGTAGGCCTGCGCGCTCCCTTATGTCCTGGAGCATACTCAGGAGCGAGCCCTGGGCTAGTGTCTTGGGAAGTGTGCCCAGGGTGGGGGAAAGGCTGCGTCCCCGGCCCACTTGTGATGGCCCCATGCTGCCCACAGCGGCTCTGAGGGCCTGGAACAGCTGTAATGAATACATGCCCAGCCGCATCATCGTGTACCGGGATGGTGTCGGGGACGGCCAGCTGAAGACCCTGGTCAACTACGAGGTCCCACAGTTCCTGGATTGCCTCAAGTCCGTTGGTAGAGGCTACAAGTAAGCACACCAACAGGCCCGCCATTGCTGTCACAAATTTACCCTTTAGTCTTTGAAACTGTGTCATCTTGGGCAAAGGTAAGTGACCGCCACACAGGGCTGCCTTCCAGCACTGGCTGGCGAGTTTGTGGCTCCCGTGCCCTGGCTCATGGGCACAGGCCTCTGGTGGGACGAGTATTGTTGCACACTGTCCTGGAGTTTCCGTGGACAGTGCTGTAGTAGGCAGCAGGGGAGAGCACTGTGTCCAAGACAAGGGTCAGGTTGATGCGGCATCACCCTGTGAGCGGGACAGGGGAGAGGCTCACCCTGGCCACCGCAAGGAGCAGTGGAGAGTACACAGTACTTAGGAGCTCACAAAAATAGTAAATAGTGCTTCCAGGAAAAAGCTTCACCTTTGTGTATAAAAGAAAAATAGTGTCGGGGATTATTTCTCACTGCTGAGAAACTTGGTCTGCGTGTCAGAGTTTTTAACTTATTCTCTGGAACCACGATGTCTGTCATTGGTGGACATATCAGTCCGACCCTCTGTGGAGAAGCATCGTGGTCATCTGATGTGGGGGGAGTGCCTGATGTAAGAACAAGTCAGAAAGGCATTGGTGTCACGTCCAAGTCGGCTGAACCTTCCTTGTGCTGTCACAAGACCAGCGTCACCTACCCAGTGCTAGCTGCTGAGGCAAGTGCTTATTTTGGGTATTCTAGAGTCCTGTCAATAGTCACCATAGACCCTGCTCGAAGCCCATCTCGAGGGTGGACAGGCTTGAGGGCTTGAGATGGGCCACGGCTCTTCAGCACGTGGGTCTCATTGGGCCCTGGTGTCGGCCCTGGTGCCATGTGCAGAGCCATCGTGGGGATGGGGGCAGGACTGGCAGCAGCAGAGCTCTGTGGGCCAAGGGTGGTGCTTCTCGGTCCCCCGCTGACCTGCTGCTGAGGAAGGCAGTCAGGTCTGGCTGGACGTCAGTTCCCATGTGGGCTCGCAGACTCCTCCCTGCTCGGTTCTCACTGGAGAAACTGGAGTGCTGAGTCAGGTGTTCCTGGAGCCTCTGCTGAGCAGCCCATCAGCTGGGACCTGAGGTGTCCAGGCCCCCAGGGACCTGCATTCACCTGCAGTAACAGAGGCACCGCCCATCCTGGTGTTGGCCAAGAGCTGCTAGGAACAGTCGTCTCCTGAGGCTTTGTGTGTCCTCGTCACCGACTCCTGCATGGATTGTGTGCACACAAGTGCCCCTGGCCCAGGGGCAGAGGAAAGGGGCCTTTCAGAGGTGCCAGGCCAGGGTTACATGGGAGGATCAGGGACAGGCCGTGGGCTCCAGCTAGTGGTGTGGTTCCGCTCTGTGGGAGAGCCTTCTGGGCCTGTGTGCATAATGCAGCCCACTGATGGGCCCTGAAACAATGACCAGGAGCATCTGTCGCCCCTGCAGCCCTAGCATGCTGGGAGCTAACGAGTTTGGAAAGTGGTGGGTTAGACTTGAGGCTGCTGATGGAGCCGCCTGCCAGGTGTCCAAAATGAGGAGCTTTTCTACACAGTAGGAAGTACCCACTGCAGAGTGTCCTCTCGGCCTGACAGGGCTGCCTGTGCTCTGTCCTAGGCACACTCGCTGCCTGGCCCTACCTGCACTTCACTCCTGGCCCTTGGCCCTGTCCAGGGCATGATGGGAAAGGGACAAGCCTGTCACAGGAGTGCCTTAGAAGTGGGATGCACTGATTGTGATCATGTCCACCCTTTGAAGCCCTAGGCTGACGGTGATCGTGGTCAAGAAGCGTGTGAATGCCAGGTTCTTCGCCCAGTCTGGAGGACGACTTCAGAACCCACTTCCAGGAACGGTCATCGATGTAGAGGTCACCCGACCAGAGTGGTGAGTGCTCCGATGCTCGGCCTCTGTGAGCTTGGTTTTGTAGCCATTACTGGACAGGTCCTGTCTCAGGCCTGTACCCTACCTCCCACAGACACCTGTTTTTCAGGTACCTTGCTCTGACATGTCCACTGAGGCTGGGATTCCCTAGTGTTGGGCCTCAGAGCACAGCTGCTGGCCCGCTGCCTCTGGGAGCCTTGCTGTGCATGTTAGCTGTTAGCTTTTCTCACTGTGACCCAGTGCTCACCAACAACCTGGGGGAGAGGTTTATCCTGGATCTGTTCTCAGAGGTCAGTCTGCGGTCAGTCTGCGGTCAGTGGGCTCCATTGCTCTGGGCCGAGGCGAGGCAGCAGCACATCATGGCAAAAGAGCATGGTGGAGGAAAGCAGTGAGAAGCAGAGAGCAAGCAGGTGCCAGGGACGAGTCGGTCCCCAGTGGCATGCCCCAGTGACCACCTCCTCCACCATGCCATGCCACACCTTCCTGCAGAAGTCCTTTCAAATTATTAGTCCTTCAACTGGCTTAACCCCTGATGAGGTCACAGTCCTCGTGATCCTGTCACTTCACCCCTGAGCACCCCTGCGTCGCCTCATGTGAGGTTTCCAGGGCACATCTTGCGCCCAGACCATGGTATCATCTGTGGCATTACTCACAGGCAGTTTAAGGACAGGAACCTCTCGATGTGTGACAAGCATGTAGTTTCTGAAGGTGAGACGGCTACAAGGAGAGGGGCTTGTGCAGCTGCACTGTGTGTGAGGCCCGAGTGCCAGCCCAGGGCCTCTGTCGGGTCCAGAGCGCTGTTGGTTTTTGGTGTAGCCCGTAAAGCTCCCAGTAATAAGCTGAGTCTTCACCACGGCAGCCCCTACGGGAGGGAAGAGGAAAGGGGTCTGTCTTTCCCGGCAGGGTTCGCAAGCCTGTGTAAAGAAGGCAGCCCCGGGGCTGGGGCTGAGTGGTAGAGTGCTTGCCTAGCATGTGAGAAGCCCTGGGTTTGATCCTCGGCACCACATAAAAATGAATAAATAAAAAGGTATTGTGTCCAACTATAACTAAAAAATAAATATTTAAAAAACAAAGGCAGCCCTGCTCTGGACAAAGCCAGGCCCACTGCAGTTTGCATACAGAACACTTCTGTATGGACGTGAGGTTACTGCTGGGTGTCCCAGATTCTGAACGAGAGGTGACAAAGACTATAGCACCCCAAATCTGATGCATTCCTAGCCCCAAGTGTTTTGAATAAGGGACATTGATTTTAACCTGTACTAACTATTTGGACAGGTGATATTAAAGACCGTATTCCATTTAGTCAGCTAGTTAACACTGTAACATGACAATGGACACAGTTTTTACTTTGAAATGTGCTGTTTGGGTATGCCACTCTCAGGCAGGTGCTTTGGGCAGTTCGGTAGGGTGCCGCTCTCGAGCAGGTGCTGTGGGCAGTTCGGGAGGATGGCACTCTATCAGAGGCACATCATCAGGCAGCAGAGTCGGGCTGAGGCTGACCTGGCCAGTGGGCTCCTGCAGGCTGTGCCAATGGCCCCCTATTTTCTAACCCAACGGCTTGATGCCAGAGCCCAAATAGGCTGTCTGGACGGGCAGGGAAAAGTCCAGGTGGGGTTGTGGAGTATGCCACTCTCCATGCTCTGCTCCAGGTGCGGTTCCAACCCTCATGGCGGCTGGTGTCATTCAGCACACGTGACGGGCACCTCGGGTGGACTCTGGGCCTCACTGGCTTGTGGCATCGGAACAGGCTTGCACAGATGGGAACTCGGGCTGATCTCACTCTGCCCTGGTGTCTGTCTGTCCCTTTTGGGCAAGTCACTTGCCACTTCTGACTTCCTTCTACCCCAAACGGAATCTACTGTAGATGATCCTGACATTCTAACATCTCTAGTTTTATGTCTCTTGGGAGGACACAGGTAACTGCAGAACCCTTTCCTCTGTCTCCACCTGGTCAGATGACAGCATCTCTATACTGATGTTTCATTGACGGCAAGACATGAAAACACCCTATGGTTAATTTCCCATGTTGTGTTCCTTGGTTTCATTCCTCACTTGGGTCTTATGCAAGTTCTATTTATGGTCCTTTACACACTTCTCTTTTAATCGGTGCTCTAAACTCTTACTGATGAAAATTAGTTACATTTTTGTTAAATAGCCATGGGTACAGTAAGAGGCATGGTCCTGGGTAGATGGCATTTGGGAAGTACCCCTGCCACAAGCCCCCTCCACGCCTCTGCACAGGGTCATGGCAGACGTTAAGTGAAGTTGCCTTCTGAACACCTTCCCATGGAAGCCTGTCCTTGGGCCTCGGGGAGCTGCTGGGATCTGGGCCCCTTGGGCAGCGTGAGATGGCAGGACCTCTGGGGGAAGAACAGCACAGCTCCACCATGGCGTGCGAAGACGGCAGCCTTGCCGGCATTTACTGCACACAGGTATGACTTCTTCATCGTGAGCCAGGCTGTGCGGAGCGGGAGCGTGTCCCCGACACACTACAACGTCATCTATGACAGCAGTGGCCTGAAGCCCGACCACATCCAGCGGCTGACCTACAAGCTCTGCCACATCTACTACAACTGGCCGGTGAGCGGCAGGGGTGGGGCGGGTGGGTAGGCTCCTGAGGCCGGGACACAGCCCAGAGCGCCATCCAGTGACGGCTCCTCTCCCCACCACAGGGTGTCATCCGTGTGCCCGCGCCCTGCCAGTACGCGCACAAGCTGGCCTTCCTGGTGGGCCAGAGCATCCACCGGGAGCCCAACCTCTCGCTCTCCAACCGCCTGTACTACCTCTGACGCGAGGCCGCCGGGCCTCCCTGCCGCAACTCCGGGGTTTTAAATTTTTATTTTTTTTTAGCTATTATCTTTCTAGATGAGAAGGAAATTAGAAGATCTGAGTTTTATTTCTAGCATTGCTATTTAACTTTTTCTTTATTTTATAGGTAAAAAATTAAGATTTTATATTTTATCTTGTTTTCAAAAGTCTGTCATGATGATTTATTTTTAAAAAATGTGGATATAGCACTTTGTATAGTTGACAGACTTTCTCTAAGTGTTGGACTTGCTTGGAAGTACTCTCAGGAGTGACCAAGTCCTACCTGTAAACCAGTATTAGCTTTATTTTTGAAATACTTATTTTGAACCTAAGGGAGGACAAAAAGGCATAAAACAGGGTGCTAAGTACAGTCGTAGGTAGGTTTTATTTGGGTATCTGATATCTCATGTTTTAAAGATAAAAGCTACCATTAAATGACCTACACAAATTAACATGCTCATTTTTTTCTTCTTTTTGGAGTTAGGTAGTATGGGGGTTTAAAAAAAAAATTGGAAAGTTTTAAATTTTCATCCAAGAAAATATTTTAACATTCTTTAACAAAAGAGGTAGTGGTGAAGTTCTATATTAACATGACTATTTATTTCATTTTGCAACCAGGACATTATTCTATTTGTTGTAAAATAAAATAAAATTGCTCGCCATCCTGAGTAACAATACAGCCTTGTGTGGGCAGTGTGCGTGTCCTTTCATTGCCCTGAGCAGTGGACAGGGCGATGTGCACGGGGACGCCACTGCTTCTCCACCAGGAGCTGGGCAGTCGTAGCTGCAGTCCAGGTGAGGCTGGGCCGCGTGTAGTGGGCTCACTGTTAGCATCTCTGCGTTTGTAGTTCTTTCCAGCAACTTTTGCAAAGAGGAGGCTTGAAATTAATTGGTACCGGTTGGGGAAGGCTGCAGACTCTGCTTGCAGGTGCCACATGGGCCTGAACTGCAGTGCCACCCGTCATTCTGTGAAGTGGCTTGTCTGAGCCACACTGGGCCAGATCTTTCGCGCTGGTGCCTTTAGGATTCAGCCTCATTGATGTGACGGGGGAAATGTTTTCTTTTCCCCTTGGTCATGAAGCACTGTGGGGGGCTGGGATCCAGGCTGCTCAAGTGAGCATTACATGATGCGTACGATGACGCTCCAGAGGCAGGGACACGCCCTCAGTGAGCAGGCCCTCGAGCCATGGAGAAGGGAGGGAACTCTCACCTTATGGCTGTGGAAGATGAATCCAGAGTGGTCATGTTTATTTCAGGATTTACTTAACGGCTAGTCAGCATCTTGGGTCATTAAACTCTCTTCTGAGAAGACTTAACGCTGTACCATGGAGGCAAAGGTCTTCCTGTCTTCAGAGCCATGAGAAACTGGTGACATTTCTGGAAATGTTGCCATTGTCCGTCACTGTGTCAGTGAAGACTGTGTGCAAGAGGCAGAAGGGCCTGCTATCCTCCAACTCCGGCATGGCTTGGCCGCCTCCTCTCCCGGCATCACAGTCGGTGCCAGGCAGACCCAGAACCAGGGCTTCTGGGGTGTGACCAGGGGAATGGAGAGTGGGCAGATACTCTTGGGAAGATGTGTAGGACCTGGCTCTTGTCCCTCTTGCCTTGGCTTTAGTTGGAACCTGGTGACCTTCCTGCATGAGGTGACAAGACGGTCACCAGGGTGAAGGTGTAAGTTTCAGCCCTGCCCGGGAGAAGGATGCCCTGTGGTAGGGTAGGAAGGCGGGATGGCCCACAGGACCTCCTCTGGTCTTGGAGTCTGGCCCCACAGCACCCTGAGGGGGAGACAGCCCAGCGGCCTCTGGGCCACGCCCTGATGTGCAGGGGACTGGCTGTGACCCCTGCAGAGCTGCCTCCTTGTGGACGTTCAGGCCGGAGATCACAGCCGTCCCTGGGTGCCCTACCTGCCACCTCAGGAAGCCGGTTCCCACTCACCTCGCAACCCACTGAATGCCACCTCGCTGCTGGCATGTCGTGCGGCCACCTGGCGGTGTGCTCTTGCCTCTTCTCCACTTGGCCCTCAGCAAGGCAGCCCAAGTGGGCAAAGCCCCACATCTGCCTGTGTCCCACGGGGGCTTCTGCCTCCCTGGGGAGCACAGGCATGGGCAGGCCTGTGGGCTCTGGCCTGGCTGCTCCAGGGCACCTGCTTGCTGCTGGGCACCTCCAGCACGCACTCCCAAGACCCCCTCAGGCCTCAGCTATCATATGGCCCCTGGGCCCCACCGTGCAGAGGGCCCCCTGCTTGGCCTCTGTCTTCCAGCCTTTGTGCCTGTTGAAACTGGGACCCCCGCTCCAGCAGTCAACGGAGCCCCTACAGGCAATGTGTGCATTCAGCTCCCTCTTGTCTTCCCAGTGTCGAGATGATGCCTGGCATATGAATGCCACCCGGGACGGCCCACCAGCCCCCAGTGCTCCTCCAGGTCGGCTGAGGACTCCACTGCAAACAGTGGTCCTGAGTCCTGGCTGCATAGTAGTTGCTGGAGGTGAGGTCCTCAGGTTGGGAGCACCTGGATGCAGACTCAGGTGGCAGGGGAGGCCATCACAGGGACGACAGGCAGCCCCAAGTGCCAGTCGCCGCCTGTCTCCACACCTGACCTGTGGCTTCTATGTAGTTCCCTGCCTGGCCTGCCCATCTTCCCTGACAAGGCCCAGACCCATCATGCCAAGCTGCAACCGGTGGCAGGAGAGGGACCTCTAGAGAGCCGTGGCGTCTGGCCCGAGTTGAGCAGATGCCATGGGCCTGGGCCTGCCCAGGAAGCGGCCAGCTCGCCTCCAAGGTGGGGCCGTTGCTCTCACCCCTCTGCTGGGCCCCTCCCTGCTGGCCTTCAGGCTGGGACAGGAAGTGGCTGTGCTGTTGCTGTGCCTTCTCTTTGGATGGTGCCAGGAACTTCAGCCTCTCAGTTCCATTCTCACGCCCAGTGATGTGCCATGGAGAGTTCACTTACGTATGTAGATGAACCCAGCTTGATGAGTTGGGCAAACACACCGTGTCCAGCACCCCAGGTATTGGGGATGTCTGTGCCCTCTTGCACGGGAAGTCCCTGTGTGCCCCTTAAGAAGGACCTTGCCACCTGGACCCCACACCCTGCCTGCCTCCTGCCTTCCCCAGAGTCGCCATGTGCTGACCCCTGGCCCCAGGTGTTCAAGACAGCATTCTAGGCTCACCTGTTGTACCATGGGCCAGGTGATGGCCCATCCTGTGGTCACCTCACAGTTTACTCCCCACCTGTCAGTGGGTATTTGGAGACTTAGAGTTTGGGGCACCACAGACAATGAAGCATCTGTGCAGGTTTGACCTGAACATGTGTCTTCTCTGGGTGAGTCCACAGGCAGGATCCCGGGTCTATGGGGTGGGCGAGGGCTGCAGCCGCTCCCTCTCCCTGCACCCGCGAGCATTCCACAGCTGCACGTCAGCACCAGGTGCATGTCAGTCCAGCCTGTGTCATGCTAAGTGGCATGGCCTCATTTTGGTTGTCATCCGCACTTCCCTGGTGACAATGATGCTGTAAGGACGTTCTCCACGCAGGTCTTCTGTGAGGTGCACATACCATGTTTTCCTCACAGTTGCTGGCTTGCAATTCTGTTTCTTGAGTATCATTCAAATAGAAGATGTTTTAAAATCTGGACTTGAGTCCCTTTATTGGGGGTTTTAAAGACTGGCCATCTGCCTCCATGTGTAGCTGCTGGGATGTGTCCACTCTCTACACAAAAGCAAGAGTGAGTCGTCCGAATCCCCAGAGCAGCGCTCCTGTGCCGAGTGCAGGGACCTGCCCTGGGAGTCCTGGGGGACAGCCTGCAAGGCCAGTGGGGCCCACTCCCACCTGTGCCCAACCACACCTCAGACTTCCTGCGGGTGCACTTAGCACCCTGCCACTGGCAGGCTCCTGGAGCCCTACCTGGGGTGGCTTCAGAGAGTTAACGATTTTTGTTGAAATATTTAGCTTGGGTGAGGCTTACCTGACATTTGCTTGTTACAGAAGTAACATTTCACTGTGGAAATTTCTGGAATTACAAAGCAGAACAAAAACCATGAGATCACTATTGAGAAATGGCCTTCTCTCAAGCCCCCTGCCAGCTCAGCAGCACACTGTGATGAAGACTATGTCTGTTTCTGGAACTCTCCATTCAGTGTTTTTGGATCACAGAAAGCAAAATGCATGTGATTTCTTTTTTAATGAAAATCTGACAGATCCTGATTCTGAGGTTAGTTTATCTGTTTATTATTTCCATTTTCAAATTTTCAGAGTTGAAATAATTTAGAAATATTGAGAAGATTCACCAATACACACACGATGTGTCCTTTGGTACGATTGTGTGCCTTTGCCCTCTGCCTCAGCATGAGCCCGGAGAGACCAGCCGTCCTCTGCTCCCAGATGTGCCCTGGCACCCCTGTGCCCTGGGCCCTTGGCTCTGCTCAGGCTGCTCTCATCCTCTCCATGGTGGGGAGTGTCCTCAGTCAGCCTGGTGCTCAGAAAGAGTGACGCCACCACAGCTAGCGTGCTCCTGCCCGGGCACCAGCCAGTCCACATGCCTGCAGATCTCCTCCTGGTGGGATTGTGGATACCTGAGAACTTGATGGAACTGGTGTGTTTGACGTGGACAATTGGAATTGTCTCCTGACGCATTCTCCTCACTGTGGAAGCATAGGGTCCCCTCTAAGGGCTTCCCGGAGTGTGCCGCAGCCTGCTTCTATGCATCACCTGCATCTGGCTTGGTTTCCTTTTCTCCTGTACACCTGAGAGGCGGGACCCTGACTGCCTGTGACCTGCTCCCAGAGGCCCTAGCACACTGCAGACACTCACTCCACGTGGCTCCCCGTGAGCCGAGACCCCCCCAGGGCCTCACACAGGAACCGCAGGACAGGGCCTACATGCTGTCAGAGCCACCAGGGGGCAGCCCCTGGGTGGGTTGAGGGAGAGCACCTGAGATCTCAGAGTGGACAGACACCCGGTGCCTCCCTTGTGCTCCGTGACTCCGCATCCTCTCCC